GTAGAATACCCTTTAAAGCATTGGTTCTCAACCTTCCTAATGCTGCCACCCTTTCATACAGTTCCTCATGTTGTGGTGACCCCCAAACCATAAAATTATTGTCGTTGCTATTTCATAATTGTCATTTTGCTATTGTTATGAATCGGGCGACCCCTGTGAAAGGGTCATTCGACCTCCAAAGGGGTGGCGACCCACAGGTTAATAACCGCTGTTTTAAAGCAATGCCAGGTCTTGCATCAACTGTAGGCAGACATTTGTGATGACACTTTTTCCCTTGAGCAGCAACTAAAAGTAGGACCCAGAATCACTCGTAAGAGTGTGTTACTTCCAAAGGATAGAGTATCACAAAGAACCGAACCGAAATGCCCTGAGAAAGCAAAAGAAAAACAATAATCTTTAAAATGGATGATGATCCTTCAGGTTGGACATAGAACTCATCCCTGTGTTAGAATAATTATCGGTCATTTCAGATCAAAAGGGCAGAGTTTATCCTTGGACAGAGGGTTAGGATAGGAGGAGGTACAGAAACGAAGTGGGTGGGAGGAAGAGGGATTTGGAAGGTACATTGAGGGGGACGGGGTTTTAAACGGATATATTGAAACAAATGTGTACAAGCTATTGAATGTGAAACTTTTTATCTGCTCTGTAAATCTTCACCTAAATCACAAAGGTTGCTTTTTTAAGTATGTTTATTATTAACTCAGAGACAATACAGGCAGTCCCAGGAACAGGAACATTGATGCACTAACTTAATCAACTTTAATGTGGTGTCAAGTTGTCCTCACTGAATCAATTTTTAACTCTACTCTCAACAATTCTTCATCACTACCACCTTCATCTGTGGTACATCCGGCTTTTAAATCATGAAAAAGTTTTTCAGTCTTTTGAAGTAAACCACTGCTGTCGAGTTGATTATGAAGAAAGGCTAAATATGAACCATGCACACCTGTTCTGACTTAGCTACAAATTCAGCTGAATCATGCACTTAGGAACTTGTTCATAACCCAGACTATATAAAATGGTTTAAATTTTATAAAAACTATAGGGTCACTGTGAGTCAGAACTGACTCGATGGCGGTGATATCATACAGTAAGGGAGAAGACAAGGCTTTTTCTACTCCTATAAAGTTAATTTCGGACATCACGGGGCAGTTCTACCCAGTCTTATGAGTTATTTTATTTCTCTTATAGAACTAAAATTATTTTATTTACTCACTTGTTCAACTCTCCCACAGGAATGTAAGCCTTATAAAATAAGGCTGTACACCACTTTGCCCCCTAACTTATTGGCCTCACCTTAGTCTTTTCTCCAACCTCAATGTCGGTTTGTTCCATAGCTTAGTTAATGAAACTTTTCTCAGTTCACATTCACTTCGCTAGTGAGCATTAATCGAATTTCACTGACTACTCCTGGGCATTTCAAACGCAACAAAAACCGAAACCAAATTCAACTTTCCCTCCAAACCTGCTCAATCTGACTTCACTTTATCAGTGAGAGCTTTCGTCTTCTAGAATTGGCACTGATGGCACAGTGCTTAAGCGCTGGCCTGCCACCCAAAGGGGCCAGTGGTTTGAATCTATCAGCTGCTCCCTGGGAGAAAGATGTGGTGATCTACTTCCATCCCCTTTGGGGGGTGGAATGACTCTTTCACAGAGGTCACCCGATTCACAACAGTAGCAAAATGACAGTTCTGAAGTAGCAACGACAATAATTTTATGGTTCGGGGGTCACCACAACACGAGAAACTGTATGAAGGGTCGCTGCGTTAGGAAGGTTGAGAACCACTGTCCTAGAGGGTCTCTGAGTCAGAACTGACTCAACAGCAATGGGCTTTATTTTCCCAGAGGTTCAAGCCAAAAATTCTTGGGTATCAGCCAACCTGTATTCTGATACACACCACAGCTAATTCACTATCAACCCCTAATGATTCCACCTTACGGCATTGTTTGTGTTAGGCACCACTGGGTTGGTTATGACTCATGGCTACCCTATGTACAACTCTAGAACTCATCATCACCTAGTCTTGCACCGTCCTTGTCCTTATGATTGAGCCCACTGTTGCAGCTACTGTCAATCCATCTCATCAAGGGCCTTCCTCTTTTTCACTGACCCTCAACTTTACCGAGCACGATGTTCTTCTCCAGGGACTGGTCCCTCCTGAAAACATATCCAAAGCACGTGCGTGAGACAAAGTCTCGCCAATCCTTGCTTCTAAAGAGCATTCTGTCAGTACTTTTTTTTGGGTCATTTTATGGGGGCTCATACAACTCTTATCACAATCTATATAAAAATCAATTGTATAAAGCACATTTGTACATTCATTACCCTCATCATTCTCAAAACACATTTGCTCTCCATTTAAGCCCCTGGCATCAGTTCATTTCTCCTCCTCCCTTCCCGCTCCCCCCTCTCATGAACCCTTCATAATTTATAAATTATTATTTTGTCATATCTTACATTGTCCGACGTCTCCCTTCACCCACTTTTCTGTTATCCATCCCCCAGGGAGAAGCTTTTATGTAGATCCCTATAATCGGTTCCCCCTTTCTACCCCACCCTACCTCGACCCTCCCGGTATCGCCACTCTCACCACTGGTCCTGAAGGGATCATCCATCCTGGATTCCCTGTGTTTCTAGTTCCTATCTGTACCAGTGTACATCCTCTAGTCTAGCCAGATTTGTAAGGTAGAATTGGGATCATGATAGTGCAGGAGGGAGGAAGCACTTAGGAACTAGAGGAAAGTTGTATGTTTCATCGTTGCTACACTGCACCCTGACTGGCTCATCTCCTCCTTGTGATCCTTCCTTAAGGGGATGTCAGTTGCCTACAGATGGGCTTTGGGTCTCCATTCCGCATGCCCCCTCATTCACAATGATTTGATTTTTTGTTCTTTGATACCTGATACCTCATCCCTTCGACACCTCGTGATCACACAGACTGGTGTGCTTCTTCCATGTGGGCTTTGTTGCTTCTGAGCTAGATGGCCACTTGTTTACCTTCAAGCCTTTAAGACCCCGGACGCTGTATCTTTTGATAGCTGGGCACCATCAGCTTTCTTCTCCACATTTGCTTATCTGGCAGTACTTAAACATTTTATTAGGGGCTCATACAACTGTTATCGCAATCCATACACACATCAATTGTGTAAAGCGCATTTGTACATCATTCTCAAAACATTTTCTCTCCACTTAAACCCCCGACATTAGGTCCTCATTTTTCCCCTCCTTCCCCGCTGGCAGTACTTCTTACAAGACAGATTTATTTGTTCTTTTGGCAATACTTTCAATATCCTTTGCTAACACCATAATTCAAATGCATCAGTTTTTCCTTAGTCTTCAAGGATTCAATGTTCAGCTTCACATGCTGTCCAGCTCCAATAAGATTCAATGTCCAACTTTCCCAGGCCTTACTCCAGAAAGCTTTACTCCATCCATGTCATTATGGTCGACTACTTTGAAAAGGCAGCTCTGCCTCAGTCATATTTTGGTGCCTTCTGACCTTGCACTATGTCTGACAATGTTCTGTTTCTATTCATGAGGTTTTTAGTGTTTGACAATGTTTTGCTGCTATCCATAGTTTTCCCAGTGGCTCCTCTGAAGTGGACAGCATATTCCTTCTTTGTAGCCTGTTCTTAGTTTGGTAGTTCTGTTGAAACCTGTTCACTTGAGTGACCCTGCGGGTATTTGAAGTACTAGTGGCATAGCTCCCAGCATGACAGCAATCCACACAGGTCAGATAACTGACCGACAAGGGGTGGGTCTTACCATGAAGTTAATGATCACTTCTCACCACCTCGATGGCTACCACCCTGGCCCTTCTGACCTTACAGTCTATTTTCAACAAAGTAGCCAGGTGACTAATGTAAGTTAGTCATCCCAGATTCAAAACCTCCCACGGCTAGCTCTCTTTCTCACTTAAAATTAAAAGCCTCATCCAATTTGGCCCCCGAGCCCCATTTGTGTCCTTGTTCCCTGTACTCCAGACACAAAGGGGCCTCCATGTCCATCGCAGAACATGTGGAGCAAAAGCAACTCAATGCCTTTTGCACTGGCTGACATGAATGAAGGAACCTCCATGAAATACGGTGTCACCAACTCCTCACAACCATGTGAGATAGTCATGTTTAGTTCCACTTTCCCAATAAGGACAGTGACTTTCACAGGCTACCTAACAACAAACAAAGGAGCGCTGGTGGTGCATGGTTACGCAATGGGCCGCTAGCAGAGGCTTTCTACCCCCGTAAAGAGTTACAGTCTCAAAAAACCACAGGGGCAGTTCTATAGAGTTGCTGAGTCGAAATTGACTCGATACAGCGCGTCCGGTTTTGGTTAACAATTAATGTAGTTGGAGGGCGGGGAGGTGTTCGTTCTACATTACTCTATACAAAGCGTGAGCTCTCTTGGAAGTTTCGGGCGAGGACAGGGTGACGTTCCTTGGAAGTCACAGTGATTGCAACTGCGAAAGGTGCTTACTGACAGCGAGGAAAGGAGATTTGAGGAAGGGCAGCGCGAGGGCTAAGAGGAGTCCCAGACGAGAACAGTGATCCAAGCGAAGAGCGGACGGTGTCAAATGAAAAGGTGCATACCGCACCTTTCCACTGTCAGCAAGCCCGATCTTGATTAAAGAAGAAGAAAACCCACCTCTCTTCCCTGCCACCTGCCTGCGCCAAGTGTGTAAGAGTGTCAGGATAACGGCGTGAAGCACAACTCCACACTAGGTCCTCCAGTGGGGCCCGGGGTGGGCGGGCTGTATGAGGGGGAGGGGAATAGCCCGTACGTCTTAGAGGCAAAGGACACAACCATCCTCTTCCTCCCCACTGCCCCTGGTTCAAAAAAAAAAAAAAAATCCCTCCAGGAGGCCAGAGCGGCGGCCAGAGGCCTCACACCAGCTGGCTCTGCCAGCAACTTCCCGCCCTACGCGGACCTCCAGCCCCAGGCTCTCCCTGTCCCCCTCCCCCGTCCCTCGCAGGGCTGGCCCGGGCGTGAGGAGCCCGCTCACCACGGCTCCGGCAACGGCGTGGACCAGACTCTCGTAGGACAGCACGGAAGCCATGGGCGCTGCTCCCCGCGGGCCGAGCCGCACTGTCCCCGCAGGTGCCTCAGAGTGGAGCACCGGAGCGCCTGCCGGGGCTGAACGTCGCAGTCCCCGCCCCCTCAGGCCCGCCCGCCGCCCGCTGGACAACCACTTCCGGGTCGCGGGTGGCGCTCGGCGCCTGCAGTCTCCGGGAGAGCCGCCGCCGCCGGGGCGGGGAAAAGGGAGTCCGGTGCGGCAGGGAACGCCCCTGGGCGCTGATTGGCCCCTGGGGAAGCGAGGGGCGGGCCGGGCTCGCGAAGCCCCGCAGCGGCAGCACCCTGGTCTCACTGACACCTGAGTACCCAGGGTCTGACTTAAGAGACACCTGGATTCCTGGAACTGAGTGCAGTGACCTCGTGTGCCCAGGACCTGTCGTTCGCGCGTCACACAGACTGGTTGGTCAACTTGACAAGTCATTTAACCTGGTTGGTTTCTTGCTTTGTGAACTGCCCATGTTGGTGCCAAATCATCACCTCATTGGTTTTGAAGATGGCAAGAGCTCATTTATGTAGACAAACTTTTAAAAAAGATACCAGCAAAAGAAGGAAAAAAGGTGTTTGCTTCCTCAATGTTGCAAAATGGATAACCAAACTATATAGTATTAAAGAAATCATACCCAACCTCTTGTCAAGGAGGTACTGCTGATTCCAACTCATGGTGACCCTAGGAGTGCGTGTGGACGTGTGCACCTGCTCCGGACTGTTATTTTTAACCAACTACACTGCTGGTCTATCAATTTAGTGTTCTGTAATGACTTGCACATGCCTGTGTTGCTGGTAGCTATGCCACCAGGATTTCAAATACCAGCAGGGTCAATCAGCGGTGGACAGGTTTCAGCAGAACGTCCTGACTAAGTCAAACTAGAAAGAGGGCCTAGAGATCTACTGCTTTAAAAAAAAAAAGGCAGTGTAACTATTATAAATAGCAGTGTTGCCTGATACAGTGCCTGAAGACAAGTCCCTCAAGTTGGAAGGCTCTCAAAATACCAAGAACTGCCTCCTTAAAGTAGAGTTAACCTTAGTGAAAGGGTGGAGTAAAGCTTTCGGGAGCTTCATTTGTTAAGATGGCTCAGACTCAAAATGGGGAGAGACTGCTCCAAATATCTATTGATAATAAGAATGTGAAATATATGAAGATGGATCCAGGAAAATGAGACATTGTAAAAATGACAAGGAAATGGGGTCTTAGAAGCTTGGCAGGGTCTATCTGCTGTTGTTTTTGTTGTTAGGGGCTACAGAGTCAGCTCTGACTACTAGGGGCCCTTTGTACAGCAGAAGGAAACAATGTTCAATCCTGTATCATCTTCACATTGTTATTTATGATGGGCCAGTTAGTCTCTCCCTATCTGGAGCAAAGAAGAGTGGAGGAAATCGGAGATTCAAGGAAAGGCTTATCTCCACTACTGAGGAAATCGGAGATTCAAGGAAAGGCTTGTCTCCACTACCAAGAACTAGATGGTGCCAGGAACCACAGCCAACAGCTCTGATCGCAACGCAAGTTCCTGAGCAGAACAAGGTAAAAATTAAAAATCGTAAAAGTAGGAAAAAATTAAGAATCATAAAAAAGAACAGATTGACAGGCCTGCGATAAGACTGGTGGAACCCCTGAGCTGATGGCCTTTGGTTCCACTTCAAACCTAGATCTGAACCTGCCAGCAGGGATCACCTTTCACCTAAACAAGAGACAGGCCTGTAAAGTGACCGGTAAGACCCATGAGAACCCTCATCCTCAGAATAATCAACCCCACACAAAAAGCAGCATTTGCCCCATTTGGGAGGATGGTGCAGGGCCAGTGTTTCATTTTATCGTCCTTGTGTTGGAACTGATTTGACAGCACCTAACTGCTACACACAGTCATACCAAAGCCTTCTCTTCCCAGGACCAGATGAATACAAGCAGCCTGCAGTTAATAGTCAAGCACAAAGCGTTTGACTACTCTAGTTTGAGACCTGCTGATCTTTCAGAATGTTGTTCTTGGAACCCTCTGCTGCATTTGTTTCCTGGGGCGCCATCATCTCCTGTCTCTGCCAGTTTTTGAATAGAACCCTTGGTTGTCATTCCTAATTATTGTATGCTGCATTATGCCTACTGTCAAATTTACTCTCTGTGAAAGGACTTCCAAAAATGTTTACCGGAACATATTTCTGCAAAATTTGTAGGTATTTAATCTTCATTTGCTAGGTGGCTCTCCCACTTCACACCACCTTCATTCACGGCAGTGGCACAATGACCACAGAGGCCAAAGGAAAGGGCGGTAGGGGGACGGACACACCTAGTTGCCCAGAGCAGATTCCAGGCAGTACAGACTAAAACTGTCCTATAGGGATTCTTGGCTGTGATCTTTTTTTAAGAAATCATTTTATTGGGAGCTCGTACAGCTCTCATCACAATGCATACATATATCCATGGTGTCAAGCACACTTGTACATTTGTTGCCATCATCATTTTCAAAACGTTTGCTTTCTACTTGAGCCCTTGGTATCAGCTCACTTTTCCCTTCCCCCCATCGCTCCTCCCTCATTAACCCTTGATAATTTATAAATTATTATTTTGTCATGTCTTACACTGTCCGACATCTCCCTTCACCCACTTTTCTGTTGTCTGTCCCCCAGGGAGGGGGTTATATGTAGATCCTTGTGATCAGCCCTTTCTACCCCACCTTCCCTCCACCCTCCTGGTTATCACCACTCTCACCACTGGTCCTGAAGGGATCACCTGTCCTGGATTCCCTGTGTTTCCACCTCTTATCTGTACCAATGTACATCCTCTGGTCTAGCCAGATTTGTAAGGTAGAATTGGGATGATAGTGGGGGTGAGGAAGCATTTAAAAATAGAGGAAATCTTGGCTGTAATCTTAATGGAAGATCACCAGGTCTTTTCTTTTGTGATGCTACAGCAGAGCCCTGGTGGCGTAGTGAGTTTCCTGTTGGGCTGCTAACCACAAGGTTGGCAGTTTGAAAACATCCACCACTCTGAAAGACAAAGAAGAGGCTTTACACTCCAGATTCAGTCTTAGAAACCCACAAAGGCAGTTCTATACTGACTTATAGCACATGACAGCAACGAGAGTGGCTTTAGTTTGGGTGGATTCAAACTACTTTTAGAAAAATCAGTTGAGAGCAAACCATTTTCACCATCTAGAAACCTTAGTTGTAGTCACTGACTGCCATATCTTTCTCTCAGGGTGGGTTTGAAACACTGACCTTTTAGTTCCCAGCCAAGTGCTAATGCACAAGACCTTCAGCGCTCCTTTTTCTGGAGAGGTACATATGATGTAGTTAAATTCTGTCTTGGAATGATTCTACGAATGTCCCCACTACTCCTTGGGGTCAGGACCAAAAAGCTTACACCCAAAAGTCAAATGGAAGTAATTTTGGCACTGGAATAGAGAGAGAACTGACCCTGGAAAAAACTGTAAGCAGGGAGCTGATGAACTTAATTCACTGACTCCTAATAAAATTGAGAGTGCTCTCATCAGGAACGTACAAGCTTATGCCACATGCACAATTATAAGCTTTATTTTCCTTTCTTAATAGTAATTGCACTTAAGAATCAGGATGTATAGACATAAACCTGTAGCAGATAGAATGTATGAATATTTCTTTTTTTTTCCTTCTGCATCTCAGCTGTTGGAAAACATTAAATATTTAAAGAGTGAATTCCTTGTGATTAGTTGCTGTTACTGCCTGCCTGCTGGAGAGACTCCTCCACACAGTGGTCAAACACTGCCCTGTCCTACAATATCTCCATCATCAGCTGCAGGTTATCTTGCTATGATCCATGGGGTTTTCACTGGCTGAGTTTCTAAAGGAGTTTTCCAGATCTTTCTTCCTAGTCTTTTTCTTTTCTCCAGCATATTTTTATTTTTATTTTTTAAATTATATTAGGGGCTCATGCAACTCTTATCATATACCATACATACATCAATTGTGTAAAGCACATTTGTACATTCATTGCCCCCATCATTCTCAAGACATTTGTTCTCCACTTAAGCCCTGGCATCAGCTCATTTTTCCTCCTCCCTCATGAACCCTTGATAATTTATAAATTATTATTTTGTCATATCTCACACTGTCCGACATCTCCCTCCACCCACTTTTCTGTTGTCCATCCCCCGAGGTTATATGTAAATCTTTGTAATCAATTCCCCCTTTCCACCCCACTTTCGCTCCACCCTCCCAATATCGCCACTCACCACCGGTCCTGAAGGGATCATCCGCTCTGGAGTCCCTGTTTCCAGTTCCTATCTTTACCAGTGTACATCCTCTTGTCCTTCCTAGTCTTTATGTGGAAGCGCTGCTCAAAGCTGCTCAGAATCACAGCAACACAAGAGCGTCCACAGATGCCGCACTTGAGGTGTTGGCCAGGAAGCAAAGCTGAGTTCTCCAAAGCTCTCACTGCTATTGGGTCAATGCTGACTCACTGTGATCCCCTGCGGCTTTCTGAGACTACAACTGTTCGCAGGAGTAGGAAGCCCAGTTTTTCTCCCGAGGAGGTGCTGGTGATTTCAATCTACACCACATCACCAGAGTTCCTTTAAATGGGAGAAAAGAATTGTACCATGGAATCTTAATGCCTAGCCCCCACCCTACCCCACCCCACCGCTTTACTTTCTAGTTTACTGACAGTACTACAAAATCATTGTCCTGTCATCAGAATCAGCATATGCTGCAAAAAAGGGTGTGTGTGTGGAACTTTTAAAAGCACATTAGTGTACTTGTGGGTTGCTATGATGCTGGAAGCTATGAGATAGTGTTTACAAAATCAGTAGGTTTACTCTTGGTAGGTTAAGTTTTACCAGAGTTTCTGGACTGAGAGATTAGGAAGAAAGGATTGGTTTTCTACTGCTTAAAACTAACCAATGAACAAGCTTCATGGTGAAGAAGCACACCAGCCTGTGTGATCACGGAGTGCCAAAGGGATCAGTTATCAGGCATCAAAGAACAAAAAGTCATATCATTGTGTGCTTACCTTCCCGATACGATCGCTGAAGACAAATGGGTGTATAAGCAAATGTAGTGAAAA